TAAACCCCCATAAACCCTAAACCCCTGCACCAACACGTGCAGCTTGTAGACTGAGCCCTGTCAAAAAACCGAGTGCAAAAAGCCAACAACCGAAGCAGATACGGCACAACGCACTCCCGGTATGTAGGGTTTAGGGTTTAGGGTTTTGGGTTTAGGGTTCAGGGTTTAGGGTAGTTCCTTTACAGAACCCGAAAAAACACAAGCAAGTACAGTAAGCGCAACCCCATGCAGCAGACATGCTTTCGAGAAACAAACAACTAAACACAAGCAGAAAAGTAAGCCCAATCCCAGTATCCATTGGTGTCACCAAATCCTCCGCTGAATAGACCCGCTCCTTCGTTCCAGCCTGCAGAGAGAGGCTCCAGGGTCTCTACAAGGTTAAGGGCTTCATTAGGGTTTCGGGAGTACGTAGGACCTATGGGTTTAGAGCTTATACGGTGTAGGGGATGAGATCTAAGAGATATGCTCTGGGCTTCAGGATTTATTTAAGGTCTTAACACTCTATAGCCTAGGTTCTATTAAAGGCTCGTTCGGCCTGCCTCCACCAGCACGCGCGCAGCTTCCATCAGCCCTCGATAGCAGGCCAGGAAAAGGGGCGTGACCCCAGCCCGGTTCTTTCCATGCGTGGCAGCGCCGGCTTGAACCAGCAGTTGGACTATGTCCAAGTGTCCGCGCTTCAAGGCCTGCATGAGCACTTGAAGTTGGGAGGCTTTTTGTTTCCCGTAGCCCTACACCCTAAACTTTACCCGAGACCTCGAGGAATAGCTGAAAACCCCAGAAACCATGAAGTTCTCGCACCATAGCGAGATGGAGCTTCAGAAGCATTTAGAGACCAGAAGCAGCAACTTATATACGATTATTATACAATTGAGCATCCCCAGACTGGAGCCAAGAGGAGTTGTTGCATGCCTGCATGAGCGGTGTGGTGTCACCCGCAGTGCATGCTTCTGTGTCTGCTCTCGCCTCCAGCAAGACCTGGGTTCTTAAGTACGGATTTTAGGCTTCAGGGCTACTTCAGAGCTTACGGTTTGAGGGTGTTCGGGAGCTCGGGATTAGGGGTTTGTCCTACGATGGTTCGTTGAAAATAAAAAAGCCGACGCAAGCAAAACACTTTCCGAACCCAGAAACTCGAACAACGTCTGCGGAGCCCCGATGGCAGGCCGCGAACAAGGCAGTGGCACCACTTGGGGGCGTCCTGATTGTGCAGCATTTGCCTAGGCCTAAGCCCTAACTCCAAGGTACTTCTGCCTCGGAAACGGCCAACATGCAGCTGATGTAGTTCGTGTGAAGCTCATTTCAGGTTTACCATAAAGTGTTAAGCTGAATACGACATACTGAAATCAAGTGTTTGGTTTGAGCCGAAGTTTCAAGTCCAATTCAGATTGGGACCGATTAGGAGCTCGCACTGTTTGGGGTACAGAGTTCAGGTGCCAGGTTTTGGATTTCTTGCCGGAGTCCTGGAGTGAAAGAAAGCTTCAGCCTTGTGTAGACGAACCTCATGTGTAAGCTTTAAGCCATAAGCCCAGTAAGACAGCAGCCCTCAACGAAAGCTGCTTCTAAATTAGAAGCCTAAACATCAACGACAACAGCAGCAGCAGCAGCAACAGCAGCAAAAGCAACAGGGTTTAGGGTATTTTAGGGTTTAGGGTTTAGGAACACTAAACTCTGCATCGAAGAAGGCCCTCGTCGTCCTCTCGGTGTCTGCGCCCGCCGCCAGCAGGACCTGATCTCTTCCACAGAAAGGGATGATGGCTTCGAGGATGTTAAGCTCCCAAACCACAATAGTAATTGGGACGTTCCGAAAACTAGGGTACCTTAGTTTGGGGTCCTCATACTAAGGATCCTACTATTTAGGGTACTATATTAGGGATGAGGCTTCGCGGATGTTAAGCTACCAAACCACAAGAGTACCTATAGTCTCCATTGTAGTTCCTTTTTTGGGGTTACCTTTTAGGATCCTTAACATAAAATTGGCTAAACCAAAACAAGGAACTACAATGGAGGCTATAGGTAATTCTTGCCCTACTCAAAAACCCTACTTTCTACTAGGTAGGTGCTTAGTCCCAGGAGAGACCAACACCGCATACCGGTTCGCTGTACCACCTGCGCCCTGGCACCTCGCTCACCGGGTCCGGGGGTATATGAACCTAACCCGTAGCTATAATGGAGAGAACTCCATAGCATGCGATGAAGGACTGTAATACCTCAAGCTCACATCAGAGCTGTGATCGTGAAGCTTGCAACAGTTCTTTGAGGGGGCGCGGCAAGGCGGCGTGAAGCCAAATAGGGAGAACAAATCATGTGCCTGGACAGGGTAATAACAGCCCTACTAGGACAAGCCATAAACCTGAAACCTTGACAAACAAACCGAAACCCTCAACCCAACACCCCAA